TTTTTGGTCGATTTCGAAAAAATATCTACCTATTGCAGACGGTACGACCTCGTAATTTTCTGGAATTTTCGCTCAAAGAGCATCGATCCTGAAGCTCTGAGTTGAAAAATGTAGGTCCTAAAAAAAGTACGATATATATTTATATATTTAGAGGTTAGAATTAACATTGAGCTTAATTAGCCAAAAACTTTTTTGGAAAAAGTTTTTGGCTAATTAAGCTCAATGTTAATTCTAACATCTGAAAATAATAAGCCAGCCGAAAGGCATTTCACAATTTATATATTTATATATATATATAACTGAGATCTAACGAAACTCTACGACCGTTTTTTCCGGAACTATGGATACGATCAAAACGGAACTTAGCCTGGTTCTTCACCGCTATGAGGTCTACATCAAGTTTCATTTTTGGTGAAAATCGGCCCATTCCTTAAATCAGTAACGTCAAGGTCAATGGGGGATGATTTTTCGAACTCGTCTGATCTTAGTCGGTGATACCTCGAAAAACTCGTCTCGTCGTGGCCTTCAAAACAACCTATAATATTCACCTATCCTCTAAAACCACCCCTTATCCAGAAAATCTGAAGTTCAAGGAGGACGATTTCCCGACTTGTCAGGCTCATCAGGCGCAACTGTTTTCATAGAAACGATTAGTCGAAATCTACCTTTCGTTTCCACTTTGGCTGGAAAGCGTTTTTTTTTCCCGTGTGGACGGCCTCAAACAGGATGATCGATGTTAAAAGATTCGGAAAAACTAGGAATTTGTTTTCTCTCAGTCTGTAAACAAGTCAGATGAATTCCACCGGGGAAAAAATTCTCTGAGATCCCGAGTCCAGACTCTTAAAAGATCTGACAAGAAAAAATACTGTCGATCCAATCGGATTTTTGCTTGAGTTAGAAGGAAGTCCGCTTAAATTAAGAGGTTTGGCTCTCGATTCAAGTAAAACTCCGATTGAATCAAGAGTATTATTTCTGTCAATTTTTTCAAAAAGTCTGGACTATGAATCCAAGAGACCCATTATTCCAGTGCTACTCCAAACCCAAAGCAGACTTTACAGGGTTCCCACAGTCAGGGAATACGGGGTAATGTCAGAGAATTTTCAAAGTCAGAGGAAACCTGGAAATGTCACGGAAATTGGCGAAAATGTCAGGGGAAAATTGCTTCGTTACCTTAATTTGCTTTCTAGAATGAGTTTGACGTTTTGAACAAAAAATTTTGCCTAAATAAACTAATTCTAATTATATATTTTTAACCATCTGGCACATCTTCAATTGGACCGCGTTAAGCAAAAAGGAACCAAGCCACATCAGCTATTGCCAAATTTAACCAGACAGATTAATTTTTCCATGAAAACAGTCGTGCGGATTTTCGTGCAAATTTCAGTGATTTTTCTGCATAGTACAAAGCAAATTCCCTGAAATTTTCAAAGGAATCCGCACAAACCTTCTTTTGTAAAAAATTAAATTGCCTCGTTAACTTTGGCAATAGTTGATGTGGCTTGGTTCCTTTCGATTAAACTCGGTCCAATTATCAGGTAATTTTGCCATAATTCGCCAGGGAAATCAGGGAAAGGTCAGGGAATTTCATTTTCTAGATTCGGTGGCAACCCTGACTTTAGATCCACGATGACTCCCAGATACCTCAAATACAAACGAATCGCAATCTGGCGCAAGAGGGTTAAAAGTTTCCGCAATCTAAATCGAGCTCTCAGCTTTCACTCTCCTCGGACGGAGCTCGTCGGAGTTCTGCCGTGCTAAGGAAGAACGCCGTTTGAACTTTCGAGAGTTGCCAAATTTCCTTCAATAAAATGTTTATTTTTGAGGAAAGATGTGAATATCTTTCTTTGAAATTTTCAGTCACTTTAGGTAAAATTGCGAACAAAATGGAGATGTTGCATGTGTGAGGAATTTGCGATTTGACTATTGATTCTCATGTAAAAGTTCGCGAGAAACACGATGGTGCCACTGGCTCTCTCTGCAATCAACTCCCAAGCTCAAAAAAGCTCTCAAGTAGAGACCAAAATGGAGGGGATATCCCGCGCTATCCTGAGAGTCCACATCTACACCAAGACAAACTCTTCATGCAAAGATAGGGAGCAAAAAAATTGACAGGGCTGCCACTTGATTTGAGGACTCCAAAACTGAAAGCACGGCAACCCTGCTAGTGTATTTCCTCCTTATCTTTGCACGGAGAGTTTGTCTTTATGTAGAGGTAGACTCTCAGGATAGCGTAGGATATCCCCTCCAGTTTGGCCTCAACTTGAGAGCTTTTTCTGAGCTTGGGAGTTGATTTCAGAGAGAACCTGTGGCACCATCGTGTTCCTCGCGAAATTTTACACAGGAATCAACAGTCAAATCGCAAATTCTTCACACATGCAACTGCAACATCTCCATTTCTCCCACCCCATGACCGTCAAAAGTTCCGGGACTCCTTGCAGATGTTCCCAAAAGTTCCGAGAAAGTTCCGGAAAATGCAAGAAATTACGGAACATTTCGGGAATTTCAAAGGTTCCGCGTTCCGGGAAAAATTCAGGAAGATCTCGAAAGTTCCGGAATTTGAAACTACTTCCGGGAAATGGGAGCACTGACACTTTCTTCACACATGCAGCATCTCCATTATCTGAAAAATTGGAAGGAAAATATTCAGAAGTATAGCAGGAAATTCGTGTTTTATTAAAGGAAATTCGGCAACGCCTGAGGGTTCATACGGCGTTTTTCCTCAGCTCGTTGGAGTTGGTCGTGGGTGTCGGTTCCGGGCGAAATTAGAGATGCGCCAGCGGAACAACCCTCCCCAAGGGCCCGAGAGAGAATTCTCGACTCCCTCTCTCCCTCCATCCCTCCCTCCCCGGCACCCCTGAGTCCGTCCGGCGAAATTCCACTAATGCCATTACTCGTCTCGTCTCCTGCCACTTCCTTTTTCGGCGCCAGGAATTTTCTCTTCTCGCGCCGCGCCGTGACGTAAGAGCTGTTCAGATAAGGCACTTCACCGTACCTGATCTCGCGACTGAAGGGGATGAGTACCGTATGAGCTTTCAAATGGGCTGGATTATGCAGTGAGGAACTCTATTTCAGGTTTAAATCCGCGTATTCCAAAAGTACCTATCCGCAGAGGGAATCTGACGTCACATATTTTGTTTATAAAATAGGCCAGATGTAGCTCCATATCGATAAATGCAGTTCAAATGAATCGGATGAAGCAAGAAGAGACCAAATGGACTGCATTTTGCAATTTGGAACTACAAATTCTAGCCAGGTTTAAAAACAACGTATGTGCCATTAATTTCCCTACGCACATAAGTGTTTTTCCAGAAGAACCAGAATTTATAGTTCTAAATTGCAAAATGCAGTCCAAATGACACTCAGAAAGAAGAATTGGTCAGGAGTATTGTTTTTATAGAGTAGTCTGGTCTCGCTCTTTTTCTCTCTCTTCCCCCCTTCTCCCCCTCTCTTTTTCATGTCAAAAATTCTGAATCGATAAAAATGTGAAAATTGGTGTTAGGCTCTATCTTGTAATTCTTGTCTTATGAAGGAAAAGCACTCCAAACGGTAACCATTTCAACGCAAATTTGATGAGGCTTTACAATAGAACCGTCTATATCCTACCATTTGATTGTAACGATATCAAGGCTTAACTTAAGTGGTGTCCGCTGGCGTTTTTACTGACGAAATATTCAGAGAGAACCCTCGTATATTGATTATTATTTTCTTATTTGTTTCTTTCAATTTGATTAAATACTCAAACTGCCCCATCTTCGTGCTATGACGACGTATGAATGCTAATACGAGCGTGACGCATTTTTCTATCGCAAGCAGAAAACAATTGAAGGTGCTGCGGCTTTTTCAATGACTAGGTCTGGATGCAACTGTCCGTGTTCTTGGGATGTCCGAGTTGCATACACAAAAATTGAAGGCGTTCTGGGTTTCTGAAGTAAGCAACGCATGGCTGCGGTGCGGTTGTTAGTTCTCGAGGGTTTGCTACATTGCGGTCACAATCGGGTTTACCATGATGGAGATGTTGCATGTGTGAGGGATTTGCGATTTGACCATTGATTCTTGTGTAAAAGTTAGCGAGAAACACGATGGTGCCACTGGTTTTCTCTGAAATCATCTCCCAAGCTCAAAAAAAGCTCTCAAAGTGAGGCCAAAATGGAGGGGATATCCCACCCTACCCTGCGAGTCTACCTCTACATCAAAACAAACTCTCCATGCAAAGATAGGGAGCAAATACATTAGCAGTGATGCCGTGTTTTTAGTTTTGGAGTCCCCAAATAAAGTGGCAACCCTGCCAATGTATATGTATTTGCTCCCCATCTTTGCATGGAGAGTTTGTTTTGATGTAGAGGTGGACTCTCACTACTCTCAGGGTAGGGCGGGATATCCCCTCCATTTTTGCCTCACTTTGAGAGCTTTTTTTGAGCTTGGGGGATGATTTCAGAGAAAACCAGTGGCACCATCGTGTTTCTCGCGAACCTTTACATAAGAATCAATGGTCAAATCGCAAATCCCTCACACATGCAACATCTCCATTCGGACGAGTGGTGTAGCCTTATGACAGCGTTGCAAATCATGAAAATTGTTTAAATGTTGTCGGTAGTGATTAGCGGAATTGACACCAGCCACGCTCTTGTGGAAATGTTTTGATGGAAAATTTGCACCATTTGGGAACGCTGCCATGATGCAACACGGCTCATCCGAATCTCCACGATTTAATGGTCGACACGATCGTGAATACAACACAGAAAGCCCGTGAGAACCAACAACCGCAGCTATATTTTGTGCTTAAAAAGCCAGAACGCCTTCAATTTTTTTGTATGCAACAATTGCAACACGGGCATCCCCAGAGCACGAATAGTCGCATCAGACCAAGCCGCTCAATTTTCTCCGACGATCTCCATTTTTGTGCAAATATGTTATTTTGTAATCTTTCATTTTTGTCGTTGTTTTTATCATCTATTTATTTCCCACCAATTGAAAATTGAATTTTTTTTCTGTTCTCTCAGTTTCAGTCTCCTGTTAGTGATGGTCCAAATAGTGATACAGAGCAGCTTTTTCGGGTAAGTGTTTTCCTCCCCTTTTAAAATCAAGTATTCGTGGTTATTTATCATTTTTAAAAACAGTGCAATATCTGAAGGCCTACTCTATGTCTTACGAATTCGCTTGCTCGAATCACAGATGAACAATTCTGCTGAAATTTTATAAAATGGAAGTTTAAAGAGTTGGCGTAGCCAAGGAGACTAGTTCCAAAAACTGAATGATGTGCAAAAACTATTGCCTAACTCAGTGTCGGTATAGTACAAGACCTGCTTACTGTTCTTCAGAGTTAAGGAGAAATACGGTAACAGCATTTGTATGCCGCTAGCCCCCCCGCCCTCCGATAAAATATTCGTTTTTTTTCTTTTTTTTAAAAAAAAAAGTTATGAATATTTTTACCTGAAATTTTCATATAAACAAGAAAAATTGAAAGTGAAATCGTTCAGAAACGTCGCACCTGATCAGAAGAAATTTGGCAATGTCAAAACGTTCATACAACGATTTTCTCTCTTATTAGGTAGGCGGTGTAGCTCATTACATCTGAAAATGTGAGACAGGCGCGAAGAATTCCTTAAAATAATTTCCCTCCTCCAATTCCCTTCTGTATTACCATGGCAAGGTGTCTACTGTTCCGGAAAGTCCGGAAATAGAACTGATTTTTTGAGGGCGTCCGGAAGCACTGAAAAAGTACAGAAATCCCCTGTGAAGGTCCGTAATTTCTTGCTTTCATACCGCGGGTGTTTTAAAACAACCTGGAAAATATGCAGTCCGTTGTGCAATGATTCTCAGAGCAGTATTTTTGCAGTAGATCGAGATTGTATAGATTAGTTGATTCTCAGGCCACCAATGAGCTTCGGAATTCCTGGCTACGTCATTTTTCTCGCGATTTGCGCGCGAATTTCGATAATTTTCGAATTTCGAAACTCGACGTACCGAACCAGTACTGAATTTCTTTGGAAAGGCACTGAATAAGTCCTATCAAAGTACTTAATATTTGCCATCCAGTTTCTATTCATGCGACGCGACATAAGCATCCCGATGTGGATTGTTGGCAGTTTTGAAAACGCCTTCAATTGTGGCGTGATACCTTACGCATTCCAAAGAGTACGAATAGTTGTATCGTTGCGCCTTAGCGATGGAAGATTCATGTTTAAGTAGCCTCCACACTGGCCTTGTCGGTTTTCCTTTGCCGCTGTTGCAGTTTTGACCGTATAGTTTAAGCTTGCTCAACCTAGGATTGTATTTAGCAAATGGATAATTTTTATGGAAGAATTAAAAATAGACAAGCGGTAAGAAATATAAGGAAATAAAAGGAGCTCGAATCAACATTAAAATGCAGGAAAGTACAATAATGTAAAAAATGTGTATAAAAAGCTTTAAACAGAATGAAAACACATCTGAGTAAATTACCCACTCATTATCAACTGGTACCTACGCAAACTATGAACAAAAAATTAAAGGAAGGAGTTGTGCGCATAACTGTTGCACTAGCTTGTAAGATCAGTCCTTCCATTTATCTCATGCTCCGAATTTTATGCGACACGAGAATCCCGATATGGAAAGTTGGCAATTTCGAAAACGCCTTCAATTGTGGCGTGATACCTCAGGCATTCCGAAGAGTACGAATAGTTGTATCGTTGGGCCTTAGCGATTGAAAATTAATATTGAAATAGCCTCCACGCTGGCCTTGGCGGTTCTCCTTTGCCGCTATTGCAGTTTTAACCGCATAGTATAAACGTACTAAAGCTAGGATTGTATTTAGTAGATAGACAATTCTTCTAGGAGAATAAAAAATAAACAAACGGTAAGAAATGTAAAGAATTAAAGGCATTCAAATCAACAATCAACTTAAAGGTACCGAAAAGTACTAAATTTTCTCTACCTATGAGGTACTAAAATTTTTGGATAGGTACTGAAAAAGTACTGTAAAAGTACTTTATTTTTACCAGCCAGTTTTAGCAGACATCCTGCATGGACACAAACTTGAGTTGCCTCTCAAGAACTGACGATTTCACATGCATATTTAAAGTTATCCAATAACTCGAGCATTAATTAAGCATCAGGAAGTTATCATCTAATGATGTTTGTATTTACCTAAGTATTACATATAACTCTTAAAATAGACATCAATAAAAAAAATTTAATCTACTTTACACTATTGTAGCCTTAATGTTTGCCTTTCCTTTCTTCCAGAATGAAAAAGATCCGCACAAGTCTGGATTGGAGGTTGCCAGTTTCAATTATGTCAACTCCATCATCGGTAGCGGAGTTATCGGTAATTTCTTTGCATTCTTCAAACAAGATGTTACTATATCATAAATAATCACTTAAGAGAAGAAGGAAACAAGTAAATGAAATATCTCTGTTCACGATACTGTAAACTATCTATCGTAATTTTTATTCAATAGGAAAATGTCATTTCTTGACAACTTCCATAAGTTTTATTTTTTAAGTAAAGAATTTTCTTTAAAAAGTCAAGCCACGAAAAAGTAAAACACAAATGGTAACTTTAAAACACTACAAAATGTGCATCTGTGTTTTTCTTCGTTTCATAGCTGTGATAATCATTGGTATTCTTTTTGTAATCAATCAAGAGCTAACTCAATTTGAGGTGTCACACAGNTGAAAAGCTGAACGTAAACAATACTGAACTAGAGCTAAGATGCGCGCGAAACCGCTGGGTTTACCCTTTTTTCCTCGACCATCCAGTAGTGATAAGCGGATTCTGTTGTCACAATGTCATGCAGTAGGTATCAGAGAATCATTATTTACCTGTTTTACCAAGCTTTTACCACATTTTTTTTTTGGACTTTTCGCCAGCTTTTCGGGTATAATACTCCACTGTGTGTCAGCTCTCAAATTTGCTGGTTGAAATACTTTAATTTTTAAAGGTGCATAAACTGAATATCTACAAGTGTGTAGGTGTTTTCTGTTAAAACTCTTTAAAAATATTTGAAGTCTAGTTTAAGAGGGAGCTTTTCAATTTTGGTGCGCTACACTTAAGTACGATGTGATCTGATCCTCTCTTCTCCTCATTACCTTGATATTTTCGAGGAAGCTAGAGGCAACAATGCCCCTTACAAAGGCAATGAGATTATCACCTCTGTTGTTTTTGAGTAAGGATAAGCTGTTAAGAATACATATTCTGATTATTCAGTATCATCACCCAGCAAAAGAAACGTATCCATAATCAAGTTTCTTAAATTGCCTCAAATCAATGATTTTTGTGGTTTCTGATTTGAATTTTGCAATTATTTTAATTGTTTTGTCATTTTTTCAGGCATACCTTATGCATTTAAAGAAGCTGGATTTGGATTGGGGATCATGATGTTGGCGTTCGTAGCCTTAGTGACTGATTATTCTCTTGTGTTGATGGTCCGATCAGCTCATATAAGTGGTGTTTATTCCTATCAAGGACTAATGGAAGCTGCGTTTGGGTCTGCAGGGTTCATCATACTTTCATTTCTTCAATTTATTTATCCATTTATAGGTACCTAATTAACAATTTTAATAGGACTTGCCTAAATTTTGTGTAGATCTCTGCTTGGGTCGAAAAAGTATTTTAGTGTCAGTTAATTATCATTATAGTAAGACATCAGAAGAAAGAAAAAAAATATATATATTTGCTGTACTTCTCTCCTTACATAACAATAGCATGATTTGAAAGAGGCTAGATCACTAAATTTTCCTTATCACCATTTGTGGTGATGAATGAAGATTTTGTTTGTTGTGTCCTGGCCCTGAAGTATTCACTAGAAATACTAAAATGTATTATAAACTTCGAAAAGCCAACAGAAATTTTCAAAAGTCAGTCGGGATTTAAATCATTTTTGATCTAACAGAATAGTTTTAGCAATAATATGAACTTTGCTGAGATTACTTGTAAGTACATTGAATCTATTGCTCTTAAACCTGGAATACAATTTCAAGCACCTTGCAGTACTACCTGCAGTACCTTCAAGCACTATTGCAGTACTGTATTAATGGTTGAAAATCTCTTTCCTCCCAAAGGAGAGGTTAGAAAGAAAAACTGAGGTCTGCTGCATCATTCTAAATTCTTAACTTACTCTAATCTTTTTACTCTGTTTCAGCGATGGTGAGTTATAACATAGTGGTTGGAGATACAATTACCAAAGTTTTAATGAGGGTATTCAATTTATACCCTCACTCTTTACTTGCCCGGCGGGATGTAGTTGTAGCTCTTGCAACAATATTTGTGACATTACCCCTCTGTTTGATGAAGAATTTAGCAGGCCTGGCAAAAGCCTCCATCCTCTCAATGGTTTTTGTCTTTTTTATTCTGTTGGCGATTTTTATCCGATTCTTCACTCTCCAAGATGTAGTGTAAGTATATTTTTATGTATTAGTGTATTTTCCAAAGGAAATACACCATTTTCTTGAATTCCTTTTATTCTACATTAAATGTTGTGGGAGGAGATGCCGCTAAATATTTTGCTATTAGGTGCCGTTGCAATTTCTTACATACTTTCTAAATGGGAGTTGTTTTTCAACATTTTCAACATTTTTTAGGCACAATCGGCAAACAAGATAGCTCTGCCATTTTTTCTACGAGGCTGCATGCATATTCTAGAGCAAAGTCAAGTCAAAAAATATAACATTGCAAGGATGTTTTAAATAACTCGTTCAGCCTACTCATTAATTATCTATCTTTTTTTGGCTTCAAAGAAGGGGGGATAAACTGCTCTGTTGAATTTGTTCCTCTTCAATTCTTTGTATTTTTCTATTATATCATTTATTTTTTTCTGTCAACAGACCACCAAGTTTTGATGCCTGGGAATTTGCGAACTGGGATGTTATTCCTGCTCTTGGAATCATGGCTTTTGGTAATTATGCTGTTTGTTCCTCGCATTTTTTGCACCGTCTATTTTTTTTTTTCATGCAGCCAAAAAAAATTGCCAGACTTTAAAACCTACAAATCCTTGAAGTAAAAACTGTTTAAAATCTTACTGACTGATCAACATTTTTTTAATAAATGAGTGCTCACACAATTTTTTACTGAATTCTAAACAAAATTATGACTGATATATGTAGAGTTTGAAGGTGACTTTAAATGCTACTTCTACTAACCTTAGGCAGCTGTGCCCAGAAAGTTTTAAGTGTAGTTTGGTTTTTTCACAGTGATGGAACAATCCAGAAAAGGACAGCGCTCACTCACGTATTTATAAATGTATCTCGGGCTGGTTTTGGTCTAAAAATCTGACCGGTTTGGTCCAGTGTAAATATTCTCTTGTATGTGAGAGATGGTGGATAAGCGTAATATCTAAGTCCCCCACCTTAGAAAACTTTTTCAAACATCAAAACTCTCTAACTTATGGATAAACTATTCTATGGAAGGAGAATTTAGATCTTCGTTTTCTTTTTTTTTTTGTTTCCTTTCCTTTTTTAACATCAACTTTATTTATCATTTACAGCCTTTATGTGCCATCACAACGTATTCCTTTTGTATGAATCCATTGAAAGAGCTGATCAAACAAAGTGGGACAAGATAACGCACTTTTCGCTCTCTGTTTCTTTTGCTATATCAGCAATGTTTGGTGTGGCAGGCTATGCCACTTTCACTGGATACTCCCAAGGTACGCATGATAGTTTTAATGTTGAAAGTCCTATTTTCAGAAAAAGATCCTGCTGGCTTTTGACATTTGAGTGGACTGCATTTCGCGATAAAGAACTTCCATTTTTAGCTCATATTAGAAACAACGTTTGTGGCACTAGTTTTCCCATGCTTTTAGGTGCTTGTATGGATGGGCTAGCAATAGTAGTTCCTTATCACAAATTGTCGTCCAACTTTTCCATCATTCATTACATATTACATAATGAAGGTCAACTTTGGTGACAGTTTTCTATTAGCATTAAGGTCCCTGTTTCCATTCCCAATGGTGGTAGGTTTAAAAAATACTCAGAATATGTGAGTGTGGCCATGGATGACCATACTATTCCAATACGGTATCAGACCCTTTGAGGCGACAGAGGCACAGAGGGACACAGCCATCTGGTTATAAATGATGGGCAGTGTTCGAAAATTTTGTGATTAATTCAAGGATTATTCTTATTGTGCTTGAAGTACTTTTAGGGTCACCTAGGTCGTTGGGAGTGTCTGCCATAGTCTTCGAAATGGCCCACTGTTGTGTTATCGGATAGCTGCTGAGCTTTGCAGTACAAAACAAGTCAGTTGAGGGCAAAAAGAAAAAGTTTGTAGGAGCCCAGTCGAATTGGAATAACTTCTCCCTCAGGAGAGAAACCCTGACCTAGAAATGGATGTCAAATGAGGCCACCATCACCATTGCCATTGCTGCTACTACCCACCGCCCCTCACATAAAATATTTTGAAAACATCCGCTAAAATGCTGATTTTTCTTCCTTTTTCCTTTTTTAAAAAATGTAATTCAAGCAACTTTTTAGATATTTGTAGATAACATGTTTATTTTAATAATTTTGCCATTGAAATAGTTTATTTACCTGTAACTGTTTGTGATTTTTGAGCATTAGTTGGACAGCTAATTTAAGATGGATGGAAAAATAAGAACAAGATATTTTACTGTAAAATATGATCTTGTAAAGTCAGTGAAGTTCTATCATCCTTGCAGGCACACAAGTTTATTAATCATCTCAAATTTCACGTACGTTTTAATGCTCTAATGTTTCAGTATTTAATCAGAGCCTAACTATAAATGAATAATCTCTATATCGATAAGTGGTACATATCTCAGATCAGAACCTGTCCTTAATTTAAATAGTACTATAACTTCTTGCTGCTTTTTCACTTCTATTTTTATAAATTTCAGGAGATCTGTTGGAAAATTATTGTTGGGACGACGACCTGATGAACCTTGCTAGACTGTTTTTCAGCTGCACCATTTTATTTACTTACCCAATTGAATGCCTTGTGACAAGGTCTGTCATATATCAAATAATGGGGAATGAAAATAACGTGTCTGATCTCCAACACTTGCTAATCACATGTGGGATTGTTGGGACTACATTTTTATTGTCCATAATGACGGATTGTTTAGGAGTTGTTTTAGAACTAAACGTAAGTACTTCTCTTGGAATTTTCTTTTAAGTTTTTTTTGTGGTTAATTTGCTATTTCTTTCGGAAGCTCGCTTTTTGAGTACAAATGGGCCTGTTGCAAACTTTTGCTAGAGCAAAAATATGAGTTGTTTCTTATAGATAATGCCTCAGGAATCACGATGAGCGCATCGGCAAAGTCTGAAATGCACTCATAACTTCACAATCTGCGTAAGAAATTTGCGTTTTTTTAAGCTTCCCGCTTCAAAAACGATACTACGGCATAGGTGAACATTTTGTTAGAGGAGTTGCTCCATCGTCGGCGATATTCATCATGGCCGACGCTTGCACGCAGTTCCGCGCGTAATTCAAGGAGAGTTCAAGGTCAATCAATTCGGGCGTGGAAAATATGAACGTTAACACACCGATTGTTATCTGGTCTAATCCAGTTCAGGTGTTATCTCGTCCCATCAAACGTGTTTTGGCGGATTGGCGTCGGCTATGATGATTATTGCCGACGATGGAACGACTCCTCTTACAAAATGTTCACCTGTGCCGTAGTATCGTTTTTGAAGCGGGAAGCTCAAAAAACCGCAAATTTCTTACGCAGATTGTGAAGTTATGAGTGCATTTCAGAGTTTGCCGATGCGCTCATCGTGATTTTTGAGGCATTATCTATAAGAAACAACTCTTAGTTTTGCTCTAGCAAAAGTTTGCAACAGGCCCATTGTGCACGAAACAGGCACTAAAACAGAAATCCTTCAATGCCATCATCATGACAACGAATGCCTCTCCAGTTCTCTTTCTTACAAGCTACAGTCAAAGTATAGGCATTCTTTTTAGCTATATGATTTCTTCTACCAAGAGCAGTGTAAATTTTTGTGCCAGCAAGTGCTTCAAACCGCAGTGATTTTTTTTATGATGCAATCTTGAATCAGTGTGGTAGCCCAAGTGCTCTGTTAACAATATCTTAAGCTCTCTGAAGGCTCCTAAACAAATGTAACTCCTCTCCCACCCACTCCTATATAATGACCTAAAAAGTCGCTCGTCCTTATATTTTTTTTTTTCAACAAAATTGAAAGAGATGAGGAAGTTTTTGGCCAAAGAGAAGGGAATAGTGTGTCCTGTTTTTTTTTTTTTTAGCAATCGCAGAATTTCTCTATTATCTCTTATGTTAAATTTTTTTATCAACGTCTCGCCGCTAAGTACTTACATTGTTCTGTGGATTTCGTAATTGTAGAAAATAAAAGGTATTCTATGCCCCCATGAATAAATATGTTGTCATTATTCCAAAAAGCAAGCCATAGTGATGACAAAAGCACCAAACCAAGTATCTTGGTTTGTCACTCTGCAAGTTCTCTATCACATTTACCTCAGGAGTGTTCAAACAAATTCTTGCCGGAACACTATCGGTATCGTCTGATATGGAAACAGGTGGCAGTACGGACAGTGGCGATGATATCATTATCAGCCGGCCTTATCGGAGTTTTGAGAGCTTGCACTTTATGCATTGTTGCCCCGTGTGTCGGTTTGTCAGATTGCCTGGCGCGGCGGCGCGTAAAATAGTTGTACACATGGCAACAGCTTATTTTCATCACCTCCAAAAACTCAGATCGCTATCGGTAAAAGCTCTTATCGTAACTGTTTCTTAACGGAACTGTTTCAATTATTTACCGACAAACGATAAAACAGCCCTAATTTACCTTTTTTAAAGGTTTGATCATCGATTTTGCCCGAAATTTATTTTTATTTTTCTTCCTACTTTCAAAATTATTCTCTGAAAATTTTGCGCTTAGAAGTCAAGCAGTATTCTCTTTGGAAAATGATGGGAAATTTTCAACAAAAGTAGTCAAGATCCGTTGCTCGGTAGTATTATCATTATGATATCATGTCAGTATCATCATTTAATATTTATTTCACTTGTGATCATTTTCTGTATTTCATGTGTATCATTTTTATTTTCTTTTTCTAGGGTGTGCTTTCAGCCGTACCCTTGGCATTTATTTTGCCTGCAGCTAGTTACCTGAAATTGGAGCCAGGGTCTGTGTTCTCCGATAGAAAACTGCCCGCATTAGGTCTTGCGATATTTGGATGCCTTGTAGCTGTAATTGGTGCTGTATTGATTATTTTGGATTTTGACTCGGAAGATACGTGCAGTCATGGAAGAGTCATGCCGTACTGTCTCAACCACACTTTGTACACTTAAATGATAGAGCCTTACTTTGAAGAGGAACAATGATGAAAGTTTAAAGGTTCCTCTCCTTTAACGTTCCATACTGCTGTGCTAAGGAAAAACGCCGTATAAGTCTTCAGACGTTGCCAAATTTCTTTTAATAAAATATGAATTTTCAGAGAATTCTGTGAACATGTTTTTTTGAATTTTTTAGAGGATTTTATTCACGACTAGATCTAAATCATCTGAAAATTTGAAGGGAACATGTATATAACTCTCCTCAAAAATGAATATTCTATTGGAGGAAATTTGGCAACCCAAATGTTTAAACGGCGTTTTTCCTTAGCACGGTAGCATATTATTCTGCTCTTTGAAGTGTGATTTCTGAATGAACTTTGCAAGGCAAATGTTTTTTCATGTGTATATCAACGTGTAAATTAGGAAGGGGAAAAGTTTTTCCTGCCAAGTAAGTGTACATATGAAGGAGTGCAGAGAAAATTCAACTTGAATCAGAAATTTTCTGGAGCAAGATTTTGAAAAGAAAAATTGACACATTCCAAAACAAAAAAATTCCAAAGGACGTCTCTTCTTCTTTTTGAATTTCTCTTAAAATTTCTCCTTTTCGCAATGCACATTCATTTCGTCTTAGTTGACAAAATGAACAATCCTACTAGGAATGATGAGTATTCTCTGTTACTCCATAGTCCTAATACAGGACTTTAATCAGTATTCTGTGACAAAATTATAAAATATTGCCAATAAGTTGCAATCTTTGGATGGTTTATGGTAATCTACCATTACTCTAATCTCTCGGTATAGGTGCGGAAATGTATTAAAGGTTTTCTTTTCTTTTAAATCATTATTTCTAGTCAATGCGTCAAGAGAACCTTTTATTCCTGAACAAGTCCATTAGGCTCTGTAATGAACTGTATCATGTATGAAATGTAGAGAACACACCTCCTAGCTTTGCCCCTAGAATGCTTCTATGCAGAATGGGTCGGTTGCACAACCTTTCTTCAGAGTGTCTGACAGTTATTCCTTATGTTAAATTTCATGAAAAAACCCAAGGTTCAGTAAATAGTTTTAAAAAGCACCTCTGAGAAAAAGTGATTAAGTAAAATCTGACCAACCGGAGGTGAAAAAACGTGATGATGTAATCTCGTCGTGTCTTTGGCTGGCATTTAAAAAATGTGTTTCCAATATGCGCATCAGAATATGTATTTTTTAAAGGATAATCAGATGAGAGAATTGGTACCGAGAAAGGTACACCCCACATCTCTACAGACCCTTTATAGAGCTTAATTTAAGCTTAAACTGATCTGCTCCACAAATTTCTAAGTCTGATTCATTATCACAAATCTCTCTTTCGTTTATTTCTTTTTCTTTTTTTTTCTAAAAAATGGGTGAAATATTTTGCAAGAATCCTAAATAATGCCAGATATTTTATACTATGCTGATCTTTGATTTTGTAGAAAATTGTTGTACGGTTCAAAAAATGTATAAATTGAACAAAGTCTTGCTTGAAACAGGGATGAAAACAGAATCAAATTTCTATCTTTCATCAGGGAAAGTAATTGTATTAACTTCTAGGTGTTTTGAAGTATTGTTATTTCTCTCAAAGTTCTCTTAGCACATTAGTGATCGGTCCATAGCCATCATGAAAGTATTAAATAACTTATTCTCATTCATTCTAAAATCACGATTGGATACTTATTCTCACCTATGGATACTAAAAATTATCAGGTAATACCTGCAGAACTCAAGTCACCCTCTGGGAAGAATATCTTAAGCGCTTTTGTGCTTAAGCAGTATGTTGCCAGACTTCTCAAACCTGTCCAGTTTTTTCAGAAAAACTAATGAACAGATTTACTCGAAAATGTTACATATTTTTCATTTTGTTATCAAAATCGATCTCCAAAACTTTCATGAAAGTATGTGCAAAAGTTTAAACAAATACAATTTTGAGATATGTGGCAGCATATTACCTCGTTGTAAATGGCGCTTGTGATATGCTGCCTGGAAGGGACAAGTTATTCTTCCTTTCTAAAGCATGACTTCTCATCGAACTTCCATTGACAATACTTTGTTGATCTCATCTGCACTAATTCTGATATATATCAAATTGAGAATCGGTTACTCTTACTTTGGTTGTAATAGTGTTGTAAATTTATCATGATGAATGACATCATCACATTAAAATAATTTTCCATGAAACTTTAAATTGTCTGAAGTTGGTTAAAATGTATGTAATCAACTTAAGTATGTTAAATTCTCCTGATCTTGATATGCCATTGTTCAACTTGTGATTCAGTCTATTTTGTTTTCTGTTGTAAAATATTAAGTATTTTCTCTAGTAAGTACGCTTCTGTAAAATTAATTGAAGATTTCAACGCCTAAAGTTGGATTTAGTATTGTAATCCAATATTATTTCATGAGTGAAATTGTGTATACAGCCTCCAGTTTCAGCACAACTTTTCCTCCAGCAATCTTAAGTAAATCTTGCAGGCATCAATGAAACAATCAAATTTGAACAGTTTAGAGTTTATAAATTATAGTTTCATATTATGATACTCAAACAAGCTTTGACCTTTACATCCTCTTAGAATCCAAGATATCAAATTATGCATTTAGTAATTCCTTCAGATCTTTGTCCAATTAAGTTTAAAAGAATAAATTTTGTTTTCAAATGCCTGCAGAATTGACTTGTATGTCTGAATTTTATGTCACGTTCCAGTGTCATAGTGCTTAAATAAGTCTAAGACTTGTTTGAGGCGCATTGCCTTGTATTGATTAACGAACTTGTGTTTAGTTGAAAGTGTTTGCCGGTGATATCTATTTTATGTATCTTTCTACAAAATGGATGTGCTACATTTTTCTCAGCATTTCGTTTTGATCGTTAATAGTCAAGCATCAGTTTAATATATTAACATAGGTTCTCAAGCCGAATTTCCTTGTTGCAAATAGGCAAAAGTATCGCCTTTTTAAGTACAAAATTGGTAATGTAACTCGTCGTACATTTTCTTTGATAGGCTCTATCTCAGACAGTAATTTGCTGTGTAAGAGTTCGGTGTCAAAACTGACTTATAAATTTTTGACTATCCATGAACACTCCCCAAGAGTAACCAAATCAAGACTCCATTAAACATGAAATAGGCCTATTGCTTCCTTTGTCTGTATGCCTTGAGAGAATAATGTTTCTGTATATTATGCACGTCCATGAAAAATAAAAAAGATTAATTTTCTTCCTCAAGGTTTGAATACATTTCCATCGAAATGGTTGATTTTCAGAAACTCTTATTTTCCCTCTTGAACGTTTAAAGTTTCATGTTTACAAATTCTGGTATTGTACATATGTATCTCATAAAAACTAATACATGATATTAAGTATTGAGTCACTTAGTACTCCACTTAATATGAAATATTTATATTTTTCATTTTTACCTATCTTGTCACTTCTTTGTAAACATACTCACATTATGCAGTCCATTTATGAAGTGGGTTTTTGTTTCCAGTCGACCTGACTTGTGACAAGCTGTTTGTATTTGATTTAAAATCATTTCAGCTCACCTCTCTAGATGACAATCATTAGGTAAACATTGGCATTTGCCTGTACTCTACGAAAAAGAAGGAGGCAGTCAATCTAATGATTAGTAATTAAATATGAGCTTAGATTGAATAATTCTGATCCGTGTCTTAAAGGCGAGTGTCATTCACAACTGAAGGGAATGAAGTGGATTGCATTTTGCAAAAAGGAACCACTAGCATTGCAATGTTGCTAAGATTGTGCAACTTCTTTTGTCTTGGAGGAAAAACCTGATTATCCATTAATAGTTTCTATTTTACTCGCTAAAAACTGTAAATTTAAGACAAAAATTACCATCTAAATTTCATAGTTTTTCACAATTTCCGCAATTTTATTGCGAAAGATGAAGTTGCACAATCTTAGCATCATTGCAATGCTAGTGGTTCCTTTTTGCAAAATGCAATCCAATTAGTTTCCACAAAATCAATTGGATGGAAACAAAAACCCTCTTGTTGCTTGTACAAATTGTGCTTCAAATTTTATTGTTATCAACTTTGGGCGTTGAGAAATGCCCAGTAAATGTTTATTTTTGTTTTTGACTGTGTTATTTTATGGTTGAATTTGTTGCTTAAGAGTTGATACAACCATGAAAAAGATTTTCTAAAAGAATCTTAGTGAGTGCTCCTTATTTTTTACGTTATCAATTTACTTCGAACCAATCTCAAATCTGTCCAACCCACCCCCACCCCCCACTTACTCTCTCTCTCTTTCCTTTAGAAGTCTTATTAAACTTCATTTCAAGTGTCAGGAGCTTATTTTACAAAAAATTGGTCACTTACCTAGCAGCACCAATTTTATTTCTGGTGATTTATGCAACCCCGTTCATTTATGCATTTTTCATCTTTGGGCAGTGAGAGCTAAATTAATTTCGTAGGCAGTTATCAAAAAGTTACCTCAAGCCGAGATCACATCACGAATTTCAAAGAAAATTCATAAGAAAATGAATTTAACGCAAAATGCAGTCTTTTAAGCCACAAATTATGGTAATCTGTAATTAATTGTTGATTTCTCCATGTATTTATTTATTTTGAATTTTTTTAAAATTTTTTTTTATTATGTATTATTATGTATGTGAGTTCCGTAAAGTCTTCATCACTGGTTTTCTAGGCACCATTATAATCACGAAAAAATGGTAAGTGAAAATATTAATGAATGCCTAGCATTTTTTAACAATTTTCCTGAAAATACATGCATTGCAAATTCCAAACAATCTTTGTAGCCGATTTAATATTGCATAATTATACTTTTAGCTTTGTTACAACCTCTTTAGTATGCTTCTTTATCGAGTTTGTCAAATGTCATTCAATAAATTTAAACTCTTGCCTCTGTGTTCTGTGAAAAAATTGAGAAAACGTTTAATTTCCTCTGAAAGTAAGCTGAATTTTATTTGACCCTGTATGAAATGCTTAAACCAACTTCTCATTTATAATAAAATCAACTGTAAAACAGAGCTGATCAATTTTGAAGTGAAATATTAATTGTTTTTTTTAACTAATAACCCTGAAAATTGCTTTATCGCTATGTTTATCCAAGTCATTTTGGCAGAAATCGGTATGAAGCTCCTTACT